ATCTACTATGAATAATACTGAGGGCCAGGGAGATGGCTCAGTAGAATAAGTGCTTGCCTGGCAAGTGCAAGGGCCTTCGTTCAATCCCTGGTTCCACCAAACAAATAGACAAACAAACAAAAAATAAAACCAATATTATGGGGGCTGGGGAGATAGCTCAATGGAATAAGCACTTCCCTGGCAAGCGCAAGGGCCTGGGTTCAAACCCTGGTTCGGCAAAACAAAACAAAATAAAATAATAATACTGATATGAATATGTATTATATATGCATACATGTATATATGTATCTATGCATATATGTATATGTATGTACATATATATTTATATATGTATGCACATGTATAAGAATTTTTGTGTGAACATGTTTCCTATTTGCACTTGCATATTTTTAGTTATAAACCTAGGAATGCAATTGTTGGGTGAAAGGGTAACTATGTTTAACCTTTTTAGAAATTGCCACACTGTTTTCCAAAGTAGCTTGAGCATTTTACATTCTCACCAGTTTTATTTGAGGATTTTATTCTATTTTTTATTTTTTTTTAGTGGTATTGGGGATTGAACTGAGGACCTTGTGCTTGCCAGGCAAGCACTTATTCTACTGAGCTATCTTCCTTGCCTTATTTGAGGATTTTAATGTCTCCACAGCCTCTGTGATACTTGTTATTATCTGGTCTTCTGATTGTAGTCATTCTAGTGGGTATAAAGTGATGACATTACAAACAGTTCCGTAGTGAATATCCTACATTTCCATTTTCAGTAATTGATTCAAATTTTTCTCAAAAAATCTTTTCTCATGGCTAGTCACGTTGAATATCTTTTCATATGCTTTACTGCACATTGCTTTGGATAAATGTATGGTGAAAGCCTTTGATGTTTTTTTAATTAGGTTATAATTCTTTTTATGAGCTTTAAAAGCTTCTTTTTTTGTTTGTTTGTTTGGTGGAACTGGGGATTGAACTCAGGCCCTTGTGCTTGCTAGGGAAGCGCTTATTGCACTGAGCCATCTCCCCGGCCCCCTTAAAACCTTCTTATATATTTAAATATAAGTGTCATATATATTATTTATAAATATTTTCTACCATTCTTTGGATTAGTTATATTTCATACTCATGATGGTGTCCTTTATTTGTTTTGTTTTGTTTTTTGCAGTACCAGGGATTGAACTCAGGACCTTGTGCTTGCCAGGCAGGTGATTGAATAATAGCTCTACTGAGCTATCTCCCTGACTGGATGGTGTCCTTTAAAGCACAAAAGTATTTTTAATTTTGATGAAGTGTGATTTATTTTTTCCTTTGGTTGTTTGTGCTTTTATGTCATATTTAAGAAAACAAATTCATTGCTCACTATTAAATTTATCAACAACATTATTATCACATCAAATGAATAGTAACTCCTTAATATTATAGATTATTTATGTTCAAATTTCCAGTTTTTTCATAAATGCTACAAATGTGCATCTGTGTATGCTCAAGTTCCAATCCAGTCCATTAATCTTTGTTTAATTCTCATGTTTTGTAAAGGGCTAGATTATTTGTTTTGTGGCTTTCAGAGTGTAGGTTTTCATACTATGAATCTCTGCACTGCAGTTTAACTTTTTTTTCCTTCTATGCATTCTGTAAATTGATAGTTGGATGTAGAATCTTGACCTAATTCAAGGATTTCTGTTGTTTTGGCAAGAATGATTCAAAAGTGATGCTATTGTTAATAGCCACTCAGATCTATCTATTCATGTGTGCTGACACTGACCAAATCAAAGGAGGCCATTTATTTTAGTAAAAATGAAAATAAATTTATTTGAAACTATCTCCAAGGAGACAGAGTGGCCTATCTTCCTTGATTTACCACCTCGTCAGGTACAGGTGTGTAAGGGTCTTTTATAATAAAGAACAGAGGAAAAGGGATGGAAATAGAGAAAATGCACATCTCCCCACTTGTTTTATAGCTTCCAGACATCTTCAGCTCATTCCCCTCTTTCTTGTGGATAAGAAACTGGGCCCTGGCTTCCTGGGGCAAGAATCTGAGTATTTTTTTTTCCTTTTGGGCTGAAGACTACAGGAATGTTAATTAAAGGTGTCACTGAAGGAGATTTGGAAAAGTTGCTTATCTTTACAGTGTGTAAAGCCTGTTTAAAGTTCCTTATTGAAGTATTGGTTACATTATGGACCAAAATTTGTAAAGTGTGGACTTAGTTGGAATGTTTTATATCTTGGAGTGCCAGAGGTTATTTTGTTAAACTTGCAGACAATCTATTTAAGATGGGGAATGTTTTACCTGACCCTCAAGGATTTCTAGACAATAGAATGCCAACATTCTTTTTCTTAGAATCATAGTACCGTGGCAGTTTCAGAGCTCAATTTGTTTTATTCCTCACTTACCCAGTTTCTTGACTTTTTCCACCATTACTTATCTGTTCACTCATGTGCTTTTAAAATGGTTAAGAGGAAGAAATGCTCTGAGAAACTTCTGCATAGGGCCTAAGAAGCTGCAGAAATTCTACGTAGTGTTTTGAGGTGAGAATTTTGAAATTTCACTGAATGATCATGTTGGTTCTTCATGTGACTGCTGGGTGTTGGAGGGCCAGAGCATGAGTTATCCCAAAGTTAAGCAGTAAGTTTGATGTCAGAATGGAAGTAAAGCTAAAATCTTGTGGCTTCTAGAGGTCTGGGAAGATGGTTCAGTAGCATAAGTGCTTGCATGGCAAGCTCAAGGGCCTGAGTTCAATCCCTGGTTCTGCAAAAAACAAAACAAACCAAACAAACAAAAATACTTCTAATTTAGCTTATTGTACCATCATTGGATGTTCTAGACACTGGATCAAGCTGGACAAAGATTATAATTTGTTTAGAACTTTACCCATGCTGAATCTAACACCCCATGATGATAAAAACTGAAGAAAACATGTATTCAAGCCCTATACCTGAATTTGATAAAAGCTATGTATGACAAGTCAATAGCCAGCACCATATGAAATGGGGGAAAACTAAAAACATTATCCCTAAAATCAGGAACAAGACAAAGATGTCCACTAACATCTCTTCTATTTTGCATAGCACTTCAAACATTAGTCAGAGCAATTAGGCAAAAGAAAGAAAATAAAAGTGTTACATAAAGAAGATCTCAAATTGTCATTTGCAGATGACATGATACTCTAAAGCGAAGACACAAGGAGCTCCACTAGAAACTCTCAAAATTAATAACCAAGTTCAGTAATGTATATAGGATATACATAGTAATGTATATAGGATCAACGAATAAACATAATTAGTATTTGTATATACCAACCACAAATGCGATGAGAAGGAAATTAGGAAAATAAATATTGTTCACAGTAGCTTTAAGAAAAATGAAATACATAGGACTTAACCTAACAAAGTAAGTGAAGGACTTCTACAAAGAAAACTACAGTACTTTGAAAAAGGAGGTGAAATAGACATCAGAAAAGGTATTGATGTCCTCTCTTCCTGGATAGGCACAATCAATATTGTCAAAACGGCCGTACTCCAAAAACTTGTGTACAGATTCAGTGCAATCCCAACCAAAACATCAACTGTAAACTTTATACATCTTGAAAAATAAATCTTAAAATTCATTTGGAACCAGAACAGACCCAGGATAACAAAAGTGATTTTGAACAATGAGAGCAAAGTAAGAGGCATAGCAATGCACAACTCATAATACCTAAATCCTTAAAACAGCCAATATTTCCATCAACAGATGATTGGATAAAGAAAATGTGGAAGTTATATATAGTGAAATAACACTCTGCTATTATATGACAGATTTGAGACATCTGTAGGAAAATGGATATACCTGGAAAATATAATATTAAGTAAAATAAACCGGACCCACACCCTTAAATGCTGTAGTGGTATCTCTCATTTGAGTGAGGCAAAGTGCACAGAAAGAGAATAATGAAGGATGGATGGAAAGGGACTAAGAGATGGATCTTTTGCAATAGGGAAATGGTATAAGGGAAAAAGTATGAGGGTTAAGGAGGAGAGGATGGTGAAGTAAGTAGAATAACAATGTACCATGCATAGGAACCTAATAACCTCAATTAACATAAACATTATATAACAAGAGCTAAGATCAATAACATCAGCAAGAATGAAAAATGTCATTGGGGAACTAACTGCAAGAGGGGGCAGAGGGGGAGGGAAAAGAAAGGTGATTAAAAAAAAAAGTCGTAGCATGTATACATGTAACCTCTCCCCAAAATAATTATAAACTGCATGAATTGCAAACATGTACCACTTAAAAAATTAAATTTCAAAAGATGTTTACCCATGCTGAATATTTAACTCTAGCTGGCTTCCTTTCTTAATACCCATTATGTTCCACTATGTTGAAAGTGTGCACGTCAACTCTCATGATGTGAAGAAGCCAACTAGAAAAGGATCTAGGATTGGGACAAGTCAGCCATATTAGAAAAAGTCAAATTTAATTGAACTTTTCGAAAGAATTGAATTTCAGATATTTTGTAGTGTAACCCTGTGGTACTGTCCACAGCACCAGTTTGTGACTTTTTTCATAGCTAACTGCGAATTTCGTGTATATATTTGGGCAGTGGCCAGAGGCATCATTGTTTTCTCCTTGACCCAGGCTCCAAAGTGATTATCAAGGTACTGGCCTTTGCTCTACCTACCCATCGTGTTTTCCCATCTCTCCATTTCCTTCATCAATCCCCCAGTTCTTCCTCCTTCCCATCTTTCACTTTTCCCTGGTCTCCTCGGACCTTCTTTCATCTCCTCTGCCAGGCCAGCTTTTTTCACTCTCCTTTAGGTAGGCTCCCTCTTGCTCTCAAATTCTTCCTTCTTCCTGCAATCAGCCTACATCCTCTTCAACCCACCCCCACTAGGTCCCCTCCCCCATGCCAAAACCTAGCTACTGGCGGCTCCCACTCTTTACGTTGGAATGGAGCAAGCCAGCTCCCGAAGCGTTGGGCCCTCGGATTGGCTATCAGGGTTAGCACGCCAGCTCAAGGCCCACCCTTAGCGGAGAACGCGCCCCTGCTGCAGCTGCTATTGGTCAGTGGGTCTGTCAGTGATTTTTGGCAGCACTTTACGCAGGCGCCCACAGTCTCGCTCAGAATAAAACGACAGCCTCCGGGTTGAGGTGGGGGTGGGGAGAGGACCGGGAGAAGACCTGCAAGGAAGGGCTGGAAAGCGTGTCTGGCAGCCTGGACCCCAGCGAAGAGAGCAGCGTAGGAAAGCGAGGGAACTAGAGAGAATAGAGGAGACTGAGACTGACCGGTAGCCAGACAGGCGGACGTACGCCCGGACAGACAGACTTAGCTGGCGCCGGAGAACCTCTGATAGGTTCCTCCCGCCTTACCCTTTGAAAACAAGGATTTTGCTTTTTCCGTGGCGCCCGAGAAAGAATGCTGGATTGCCGTCTTCAGCACAAGCTAAGATTTCAAAGCTAGGCGATAAAAGATCAGCCCACCCTGAGGGAGGGTGGAAGCAAATGCCCCTGTCCCCATCCCCCTTCCCTCCCCTTCCCGACATACTCGGGCGCCAAACCCAGCCCTTCCCTAACCATCCGACTTCCTCTTCTTTTTAGCATGGTGGCTGTATGGACAGTCTGACAGAACAGAGACTGACATCTCCCAATTTGCCGGCCCCCCACCTGGAACACTACAGTGTTCTCCATTGCACTATGACCCTGGATGTGCAAACTGTAGTCGTTTTTGCCGTGATTGTAGTCCTCCTGCTTGTCAATGTCATACTCATGTTTTTCCTGGGAACGCGTTGAATGGAGTACAGCCACCTGAGCTGTCGCGAACTCTCGCTTTGATTTCATCCCGAGAGCCATCGCGGGGCGGGAGGGGGGGGGTCGAGAGACCGAGACCAGAAAAGAGAGGGAGAGAAAGAACAAGCTTTACTCAGGGGGGAAACGTTTTGAGCTTCAACATGGCCTCGCTGTGATATGTATGACGTTGGTATATTATCTCTCCCTAAATCTTTTGTCATGTCTTGTCTTTTAACTATGCCTTATAAATAATTGCTTGACTGAAATTCTTGATAAAGAAATGTTTTCTATTTAAGTGTGCATGCCTGTGTGCATTCTCCATCTATGTGACGTTGGTAGAGCAAGCTCTGCGTTCCTTAACAGTGACTTCTCTTTGGTGGCTTGTCAATGCATTTTTCTCGAAAACTACGTTTAAATTCCTTTAGTGAATTTTAGTCAAAATTTCTCTCTTGCCAGCAAGAGTGCATTTGGTTTTGTTTAGGGTGGGGGTAGAAGTTTGTGGGAAGAGCATGATGAAATTTTGGTGATGTCTAAGGCAGTCTTGTACTAGATGTTTAGAGGGGGAAATATTGATGTAATAAATGGATTTAGGAGAAATTTTTTTTTAAATTCTCTAACAAGAGGCAAGAAGTTGGGAAGTGATGTGGTGGGGTGTCTTGAGGTGGTAACTGGTGACTTACCCTTTGATTCTAAAAATGCTGTCCAGGTTTTACAGTTTCCAATTTGGAAAGAGGCCACCTTTAAAACGTTTTTCACAGCCTTAACTCTCAATTTTTTAGAATCATGGAGTGGGACATAACAGTATTTTCTGATCTTTTGAATTGGCAAGAGAGGACTTTGACAAGAGACCTTGAACACTGTTTCCCAGAGATTGTACCCTTGGATTTGAGTCTGATGATTTTTCTGTGTCTCATCTAAAAAACAAAAGCCAGTTTTTTACGTACCTTGGGAATAATTGCGTTGGATATGGCTCCTTTGGTAATAACCTTATTTGTAATGTTCTTGAACTACATTTTAAAAGATCTTGATAGTCCTTTGAGAAAGTCGTGGTGTTATTGTTTGCATCTTTGCTGCTTTAAGAGCAAAGGTCTCTAATTGAAACATCCCTATAACTGGAAGTATATAAAGTGTTAAGAGTTTTGAACATGAAGAAAAAGTCTAGATGCAATGGGATGAAATCTTTGGAAACATTTGTGCTGGAAGCAACATTCCAATTTAAAATATGTCTGCTTGTCTGTCCTACTCTGCTTGTCTATGCTATGGTAGTGGTGTTTGCTGTTATTATTATTATTATTATTATTATTATATTTGTTTCTGATGAGAAAACTCTTAGCAAAGCTAGGAAATTAACTATGATTGTAGGATGCATAATATTTTTCATTGCTAATGTAGGCAAATCTTCCTCATTCTGTTGCTTACCTATCTTGAAATAGTGCCATTTTTGGTTCATGTAGCAATGAATCAGGGCACATACGCATAAACACACATGCTCCTCCTGCACTAACGTGGGCGACTGCTCATGTGTGATGTACAGATCTGTTGGCATTATGCTGTCAAGTTCTATGTCTTGATGTTCAATCTCTTTGGAAATGATTATGAAGAGAGAGGGGCTGTGAAGGGTGTGTGTGTGGGGGGGGGTTAGGTGTTTGCAGTTGTCCTGGCCATTGGACTTAGAGTATTATTTAATGATGTCAGTCCAGGTTTTGAGTCTCAAAACTGAATTTCTGACTGTGTGGGTGAGAAGCAAGAAGGGAGTGTTTTTGTTTTTCTTGTTTGATATCATAGTATAAGTAATGGTATAAGCATGATTTGGGAAATTTCTGGCATTGATTCTTCATAATTAGTCTTTTGTCTTGTGTGAGGTCCCTTTGGGTGAAATCAAGAACTTTTCTTTTTTTTTCAAGGAGAATCTAACCAAGTGCATTGGCATATACCTGTAACTTTAGCTCTTGGGATGCTAAGGCTGTCCAAGCAAGACCCTGTCCAAAATACAAAATAAAAAGGGACTATTCAATCTCCAGTACCTCACTAGAGATGTTATTTAAATTAAACATTATATCATGTGTCTTGTGTTGGCACTTTGTTTTGAGACAGTGTTGGTGAGTTGGGAAAAAATCTCAATGCCAGGCAGCTACAGATCTGATTTTTTCCCACACAGTAGCTGTTTAACTTGGTGCATTTTTTTCCTCCTCAATGAGTTTGAATTTCTTGTAGATAGTGGCATTTTGAAAAGATTGGATTAAGTAACTTCAAGATTTTGTATTCTGGGATTTGGAACACCCATTAGAGTTGAAGGTCTAAGGGGATAATCTGAAAACAAGTGAAAAGAAAAATAAAATGAAAACTAAGGGTCATAGGACAAGTACGTGGATATCTGGTTATTGATATTTAGAGCTTTCCCTAAGGAATTTTTGGCCTAGCTGTGTGGTAAAGAAAATGGGGACAGCACCATGGGAATGCTTTTTGACTTTTTTTTTCATTTTTCTAAGCGCAGAAGGGGGGCCTATAAGGCTAATCTTTAACATATGTTTATGACTAAGTTATATCATGAAATCTCTTCTCCTCTGGTTTCATGGCAAACCCTTGGCAGAAAGGTTTTGGAAATGTTTGTATGCAGGATCGTGGCAGTCTGTGGTCACTCTTGAGAGTGATGGTGATAGGAATGAGGAAAGAGAGTATTGATTGTTACAGTTCTGGATGGCCCACTGTGCTAGGGCTTGTGAAGATTTAAATGATGCTAGGATGGATGGGTGTCCCCATAACAGTCCTGTCACCATCTGATGCTCCCCAGCCTAAAGGATTAGTTTCAGTGATTCATCCCATCAGTAAGTCAGCTGTGGTAGTTCACATAAGGTGTAGGTATAGCTAGATGGCAGGTCACTTTAGAGCAGCTAGCTAGAAGACAGTTTGAGTAGAAAACGAAAGTCTAAAATGTGGCTTTTTAGTTGTATGAATCATAAAGGTTTGGCATTTCTCCTTCAGATATGTGAGGGAATGCAAAAAGAGAAAGTGAGAAAATGAGAAATGCAGTCCAGAGGAGTGGAGCTGTATACATTTGATGTGCTTTCTCTCTCTTTTTTTCTTGCTTTGTCTCTTAATCTTTCCCATTCTTTCTTTCCTCTTTCCTAAACTACCAACTTCTTCCTCCCCACTCTTAAGTGGGTGAGAAGTAAGGAAGACAAGAGGACTTTTCCTCCCTGATTTGTCACAACTTTTGCTAGTAAAGCTCAATCTTGCCTTTTTGTTTTTTCATTCCTTTAAGTAGAAAATAAGCTTTTTCTACTAGGAGGGACAAAATCCCAGTTCAGTGATTTTGGTTTCATGATTTCCACAAAGGAATTAATGAAAATGCCCTCTACTAGTATCCTAGCAACGGCTTCATTACACAGTTCTCACGGAGCTTCACTATCATCCCTCTAACAATCCAGGCAGTACTGTGACTGGACAGGGACTGGAGCCGAGTAGGGGTTGGGGAGATGAATTTGGGGAAGAGATAAGACAACCTTTCTTACCTGCAGATATCTAGAAAGTATGTCTATAACAGACATATAGACTTATTTATTGGAAGACTCACAGTCCAGATTTCTCTCCTTGGGATTAACTGAGTTACTTAACTGCTTAGCTTTAGTTCAGGAAGTCTACAGATGTTGACAAGCATAGTTTTTCACTCAGATTATTGGCTTTGGTAGGAAGAATGAAGTGATAGCTTACTGGGAATAAAATGCACAGCCCTTTTCGTTTTCATGAAGATTGCCTACATCTATCACAATCTGCAATATTTACGTAGGCAGTTAACCCCAATTTTGAGAAGTGCTTGGGGATCCTTGCCTAGACCAGCTGCAGTGAAATTTACTGCAGTTTTCTTTGATTCAGTGACTGCTGACTGGGCAGGCTGGACAAATTGAAAGAGTAAATTTTTTTGCCGAGCTGGTGAACAAGGCTGGTTCAAATTATCTCACCCACGTGTGTGTTTATGCTTCTAGGGAGCTGATGTTCCCTGGAAAGCTAATGGGTGAAATGTTTTAATGCCCTGTGGGAAAGGCCATGTAAGAGTGCTTGGCTGTGATCAGAGGACACACCGGTAGTTACAGAGCTGCTGCCACAGTATGTTTAGCATTTCTGCCATCTCATCCTGTGATCTTTTTGTGGCTTGGGGAGTATTTTCTCTGGGCAGGGTTATGGGAATCGAGCCCTTTTCCCCAAATACAGCTGCTTCAACAAAGGACTTACTAGACATCTGGACACAGCTCCAGTGGCTTTTTTCCTCAAGAAATGAATGGAGGCTAATGACAGACTTTCTAGTCTATATTTCTAACTCTCCTCCAACTGAATATCTAGCTTTCCAAGAATCCTTAATTGAAGCTCAAGTCTTCCAATATGTGCCCAGATTGTCTCCTTTCCATAGGTGGCGTTAGCTCTCTAGAGTATTTAATTCATTATATTTCTGATCTGGCATCAAAGTACAAAATGGAAGAAAAGCTAGAAGAGGGAAGAGACTCAGGAGAGAGAAATTTTGGGAAATAGTACAGTAACAGCTATATAATGACTTTTGGTTAGTGCATGGGCCTATAAAGTTTAAAATCTGATGTCACATTTAGTCTAATTTCAACATCACATCAGCCTTATGAAGTGGGTACTGATGATTGCTATTTCAGTTTTACATGTGAGAAGAATAAAGGTCAGAAAGATTGGTAGAATGTGAGTGGGTCTGTGTTTCCACTAGAGATGTGGGAGAGTCAAGAGTTGATCATCCCCAGCTAGTGTTAAGCTGCAAAGGGTCAAGAGAAAAAGGGAGGTGTGTGTGAGTCATCCCTGAAATCATGCTTGCTTCCTCATCTTGCTTACATTTTTGTGCTTTTTAGTACATTTTCTTTGTATAACATTTTTGTGCAAAATTCTTCAGTCTATAAAATTTTATCTTTTGTCTTGAATGTGCATCAAAATTCCCTTTAGTCTCTCAAGGAAAACCATTGTTTGGGACTTAAAGGTGAAAGATTTAGCTGTTGAAAGCCTAAAACTAAAATGTCAAAAGCTAGAATGTATTCTAAAGATTTGCAGTTTTCATGCATTTGTGCTTCATTTTGAAGCATACAGTGATATTTTGGTTCATAAACTTAATTCTTTCCACTATTATAGCCACAAATTGGAATTTGTGGCTCCAGATTTTCAATGAATTGGA